AAAAAAAAAAAAAAAAAAAAAAAAAAAAAAAAAAAAGCCGATTTTCAAGCAATTCTGGTAAGTTGATGTATGATTCTGGTTGTACAGATGTTACTTACACCCTTGCTCTTACATAAGATGTGTAGCCGGTCTACATCGCATTCTTCCACGACTGAAACTGAAGTGGATCAGAGGAGTTTTTCTATAATTCCTAACGGTCTACAAAAATGACGCGTTTTGGAAGCAAACACTTTACATTATCCTAAAGGTATTCTATCTGTAAATTACTGTATCTTTTTTCATTTCGTGAACGGCCGCCAAGCAAACGTGCGGAAAAGCAGCAGCACAGAAGCAAAATTCTTTTTATACACTGCAGTTACAAATAGAACTCCAGTTCAACCAAAACAACAATTAATTATTTAATTATACGACGGAGCTTACTGTCCACAGCCACTCTAAGTCCCAAATTTTATGGCGGTTCCTCAGAAGACTTGAAACGACTTACTGTCTTTAGAAGTAAATGTTAACAAAAAGCTAACAAAGTTTATTCATGCCCTCCTCAGTGCCAACAGAAAAGCATGTATTTGGTCCCATCACCTCATCAGAGAAGTTATATAAAGACTTCACAGCTTCCACGCTAGTGCCGTCTTCAAAGCGTATATCACCGTCAATGTACCGTAAACCAAGCAAAAATTTTTCTTCGCCTAAATCACACCTCGCTTGCTCTATAAATTAGATCCAATTACTCTTTACTTTTGATTATAACATTGATTCTGCCAGCTGTAAAATAAATAATCCTCAGATTTTCATAGCTGAAGAATATTGTAGAAGCCCAAAAAGTTTTTCAAACACAAGACCTGGTTACCTGCTGCGAACTGAAGTTCGAAAAGATGCGATATTGTTAGTAGATACATGGAAGGAGATTCCATTTTACACGAACGTGATGCATTATTGTAGCCGGAAAAAGGACCCTGAAATGAGCGTTAAGTGAATTTTTCTACTTGAAATGGAATGAAAAAAAAGCCAATAATTTTTAAGAAGAACTAACAGTTTTGCGACGATCTACAAAACATAGTTTTTGCAAACTACGTTAAAACTGTGCTTAACAAAGCAAAAACTCAGAACTTTAGTAATTTAGAGGACTTCTACTAGGCGCCACATTCAAAAAAAATCAAGAGAGAACTGACACAACAAACTACTTTTCATTACAGCGGGTCCACCTGCATTCAGAACACCCTAAATTATTGACAGAAAAATCTGGTAGTTGTCAAGTTTTTAAGAAAAAAGTTTTTTTTACTGCTTCAAGTTTTGAACAAACGATTATACAACCCAAGTTACCGTTAATAATCTGTAATTGTATATACTGGGACATGGAGATACTAGTTTCCAGTAATCGCTTGTATAGTCCCTTCCAATACACACTGCAATTTGTAACTTTTGGCTGATGTACATTTTCAGCAAAAGATTTTCTTCCAATCATACCGTCTCTTACCTTCTTGACACCACACTCTTAAAAACAATAAGCAAAATAGCAACTTGTAGCAAGTTACAAAACGCCGCATTTTGCATCAAACACTTCATTAATTAAGCCTTGACCAATTCATTTTCTTACTGGGTCGGAGCTACCGACTTTCTTACAGAATACAGGCA